GATTATGTACATAATAACACAATGGAGAATAAATCTAGAATATGACACTGAGTTCAGTTCCAGAGGAGCTGAAATTTGGGCAATGTTATGCAAACAATGCAATCCAGGAAGTGCTTGTCATTGTCTAAAGAGTTAACTGAAATTAATTTGCCAGATAGACAGTTGTAACCGGGTACAGCTCTGTGGGAGAAAGATAGTAACATAAACAATTTTGACAGAAAATACGCATAGAAGGTAAAAGAAGAAGGGGGCTGTGGCTCAGCCAGTCAAGTTAATCTAATCAAATAGGGCTGATAATAAAGGGATGTGGCTGACCTCATTTTCAGATCAGCTCAAATCAAGTGCCAGAGTACTATGAAAGAAAGACAAACAACAAATTATAGACTTTAATTTTACCTGGACGTTTAGTCTCAGAGGTGCCCAAGGTGGTCTTCAAAAGAACAGAATAGTTGCATAGAGGGACTGTAAGAGCAAAGAGTTGGAGGCTGGAAGGTCAGGGCATGCTCAGGGTATAATAAATACCTGGAGCAGGCTGAGAGGGGAACCATTTACTGATTTGACATTTTGTTATAATTCAGCCTTGTCAGAGAGGGTTTTTATGATTTGGGGGGGCACTTTTGAGTACTCTGGAATGGATGATGTTGGGTGCTAAATTCCTACTCACTCAGGAGGTGTGGTTTATTTGAATAAAAAATTATTTTCTTGTCCCTTTGAATCACTTCGATAGAGACAAAAGACTTCCTGACTCCAAAGGTCTAGTAAATAGCAAAAGCTATAGGAGACCACAAGCAAATCCAATACAAAAAGGACGGCATTAAAGTTTGCTGCCAACCTTTCCAATCCTGGGAGCCATGAACAAAGACAGTCCTATTTGAACAAGCCCTGCCCTTCTTAAATCAATGTTTTCCTGTTGTTGTGCTCTTGAAAGAAAAATCTTGTGGACTGGTTATTCCTAACCTAAAAGAATGTCAGATTGCAGGGTCACTGAATTATAAAATGAATATGGAGTCAGTCATCCTTTGGAACCAGGGCATGAGATTCCAGCCTCACAGAAAATGTTAAGGGGGAGTATGTAAATACATTTACTAAATTATATGTTTAAACTATGTAGCTCTGGCTGGTGTGGGTCAGTGGACTGAGTGTCGGACTGAGAAGCAAACCTAGGGCACTTGCCTGGGTTGCAGGCCTGGTAGTCAATAGGGGGTGCACAAGAGGCAACCACACATTGATGTGTCTCTCCTTCTATATCTCCCTCCCTCCCCCCTCTCTAAAAATAAATAAATAAAATATAAAAAATAAAGTATGTAAATGATTCAGGAAAGAAACAAAATGAAGGAAAAAACATGTGTGTGTGTGCATGCATGTTTAGTGAAGTGAGACTAGGTATAGGTATAGATAGGAAAAGATATGCTTAGGAGTAGTTGAGTCCCTCCAAGCTACACTTACTAGAAATATTCATGATCCACAGAAACAGACAGAAAAAGGATATAAAAGATCACAGAAAGTAGGAAGTCATGGGAAAGTGAGTAGTAGTAGTATTGGGGAGGTGACTGCTGGTGAGTAGGTGTAGAGGAATAGGAATAATGACATCTGGAAAAATAGTGAAAATAAATAGCTAGAAAACAGATCTAGGCTGTGGTTTATGATAAGTATTTGATTGAAGGCTAAACCCTTTGCTCTTGCTTTTCTTCTTCATATACTTTTCTCTGATCTTTAAGAATTGCTGATCTGACTTGGATTATAGTTCACACGATCAGTGTACCATGGAACACAGTTCCCAGGCCTTGAGCAGATCCCTTTCATGTTTTGTTGTTCATGTTAATGAACTGTGTGTGCATCACCAACCCTGGTTATTCTGGAATGCTTAAGCAAATGCTCCACTGAGTTGAGTCATACTTGGGAACTGTGTTCAGTGTATATTTTAGCAGGAAACCTAGTTAGGATTTCATGCTTCAGGAAATCTGTTCTGATTGGTTTTAGCTGAAAAAAAGATCAGCTGGATAGGCACAGAAAAGAACTCTGCAGCCATGTAGGTTTCAGTGACTGTGTTTTTATAATTATAAAAGTAACATGCAGATGGGGAAAAGTTAAACCATTCAAAAAGGTAGCTATCCCTGAAAACTCCCCAGAGTTAATGTTTTCTTGTTTATTGTTCCAGAAACCACTATCTACCTATTTAAATTATATGTGTGTGGTAAATTATATGTGATACATTATATCATCTATGCTGTATTATTACTTAAAAAAAAGTATAGATGGGATAATTTTTTTATTTTAGATTTTTACTTTTCAATTACAGTTGACATGCAATATTGTACTGGTTTCAGGTGTACGACATAGTGCTTAGACATTTATATAACTTGTGAAGTGATCAGCCTGATTAGTACCCATCTGACAGCATACATAGTTGTTATAATATTTGACAATTCATTTGTTAATGGTTGCATATGTTGTGTTACAGGGTTATCCTCCAATTTAACCAATTCCCTATTGGAAGATATTTAAGTTTTCTTCAATATTTTACTTTTAAAAGTTATGGTATTTTAAAGTTTTTTTCTGCTTACTTTACAATTCCTTATAAACTTAATACGTCTAGTGATCGGTACAGTGGTACGGTAGTTGATAAATATTATTTCCTTTTTTCTTCATATATAATTTTCCTGCATATACACTTTTTAAAAAGGTATGCCGGTGACTTCCTGTTGAGCTATCTACACTTTCTCCTCCTGGGGCCTGGCCAACTAACTGATGTGATGTAGCTATGGAAAAGATTTTATTTATTTATCTTTAGAAGGAAAAGAAAGGAGAGAAGGAGAGAAATATCAATGTATGGTCGCTTCTTGTGTGTCCCCTGCTGGGAGCTGGCCTGCAACCCAGATATGTGCCTTGACTGGGAATCCACCCTCGATCCTCTTGTTCACAGGCCCACGCTCAATCCACTGAGCTACACCAGCCAGGGCAACATTTGTTTAGATTAGTTTCTAGCCCTGAATTATTAGAACTCAGTTTAGTCAATGGATCCTTAAATTCACAGCCTATCTGTATCTGTGGTGCATCGTAGTTTCATCTTTGTAGATAAAAGATGAAAGATTTTGGTAAAGAGGTAAGAAGAAAGTTTTGGTAATTCCTCCAGTTTCAGGTTTATGTACTTAAAAAAAAACCCATTTATTGTGGTTCTTTTGCAAATGCACAAAACTAAATCTCAGTATTGCTGTATACACATCTGATTTTTATATTTGGAAAAATAGAAGAAAGGCAATTTCAATAGAACTCTTCAAAGTGGAAGATAGAGATAGAGGGCACAATCCTGATTCATAGCCATATTTGATGAAGGCACAGAAAATAAAAACAAAACTAAAACCCATGGTAATCCAAATAAGAAGTGTGAGGGGACAAGAGAGAAAGGGAAATAGCACTGGCACAGCATGCATGGGTAAATACATAAAACACAGATGGGATAAATATAGAAAATGAAGGGAAGTTGTTTCAGGAATGTCACAGATTTCCAACTAAGGGGATTAATGTGTGCAGCTGTTACATGGGGGAGGGGCTTATCTCATTCCTGAACTGTCAGGTTCCACTGTTGGGCAATAAATGCCTTTTGGGTGAGTGGCATGATAGTATGTCCAGGTGAAGACAATCACACTGTTCTGGAGTGGGCTGGAAGGATTAGGTTAACCAAAAGCTTCACTTCATTATTTATCTACTCTTGGTAAAAAAAAAAAAAAGTACCATTTCTGTCAAGCTTTAAAGAATATTATTAGAACAAGTGATACAATAAATTCTTTGTGTTTTTTCTTTAGTATCTAAGGCTACACTTCAATGTTTTCTCAAATTTAGAATAACATTTTCATTTGATTACCTAACTATTTTCCTGCTTCATATTTTAAAAGGAATTGAGAGAATTAACCAGTTCATAATAATAAACAGACAGTAAAGAAAAATCTTCTGTTAAAGGAACTCAGGAACCCCAAATCTTTCAGTCTTTAATGAGCTCTCAATATGGGCTTATTTCTTGTGGAAAAAGGGATTTTTCAAGAGAAAGTGATCAAGAGTTACTCCAAAGTGTTTTATAATGCCTAGTTTAGCTAATTTATGAAAATTCATTAAAATAAGTTTTATATGATTTTTATTACATTACCCAACATTCTCTGTTTCTATAGTTTAATGAGCGCACACAAGGTCAAAGATGGCAAGAAAATAGGGTATTGCTTCTGGAGAGTGTAAGAATATCAGTATCAAGGTGCAGTCAATGAGTTGAGTGCTTGAAATGTACACAGGTCTGTTAATTCACTACAATGGCATGTACTGGTTCTGGGACTTTGGTATCATGATCCTTCTACCCCTCCTATACTATGCTACTTACTATGCTACTAGTAAGTAAGCATAGTCATTAGATTACTCTATGATGTAGGATTAATTTCAGCTCATCCAAATGCCATCGTTTATGAATAATAATTCTGGCACGTCGTTGAGAGTTCCAAGCATACCTAGTTAATGATTATTGATTTGGTGCCTATTTTGCCAACTTAGAACACTCACGGAGTACAAAGCTTTGCACAAATATCTATTTCCCCAGTTACCCTTGTCATAGTTCTATCCTTGATGCAGATTACTCGAATCGAATATGCCATCTCTATTGCTGCTATTATAGGGGGCTCGGGTGCCAATTACCAGTTCCCTAGAATTTGCCCGTAATTGACTATGTCCCACAATAGGTAACTCTGGAGGTGACAGGCAGCCTCAACTGTGGTTGTCCCGCCTGCCTATTGGGCCTTGCAGGAAGCCCCGCCTCATTAACTCAGTCGAGGGCTGCAGTTGGTCCTGCTCCGATGAATGGCGGGCTCCAGCTCCGCCCCGGCCGTCCGCTGCGCTGCCTGGGTCGGCGCCGTTTCCAGTTGAGAGATGGCGGCCGCCGCAGGTAGATCGCTCTTGCTGCTCTTCTCCTCCCGGGGCGGTGCCGTGGGCGCCGGCGGTTGCGGAGCGCTGACTGCCGGCTGCTTCCCCGGGCTGGGCGTCAGCCGCCACCGGCAGCAGCAGCACCACCGGACGGTGAGTGAGCGCGCCCGGCGGCTCCGGGGAGGGCGGGGCGGCGCTGGCGTGTGGGAGCCGCGGGCAGGCAGGCCGCCGGGGCAGCGGGCTAGTTGCCTCAACTCGCGGCCGCTCCCGGGGTTGCCCGACTCGGAGGAGCCACCGTGCCCTTCAGGCGCCTGCGGCGGCGGCCAGGAAGGGAGGGAGAGCGGAGGGAGCGGAGAGGAGGAGGGGCGACGGCGGGGATGTTCCCGCAGGACTGGGGACACCAGGGCGCGGAAGGCACAGGACTTGAACCTCTCACTGACCCGCCCCCGGCCTCGGTCCCTCCCTCCTTCTTAACAGCTCTGCCCCGCTGCTCCCGCACCGAGCCCCGCGCAAGTTGCCCCTTTGCCTCCTCCTCTGGGCGGCTTCGGGTGTCCTGAGTTGCCGCGGCTGCCGTGTGTCTGTGTCAGAAGAGTGGCAGTGCCATGCTTTCGGGAACCGTCCCCGGGGAGCAGCCCGGGACCCCAGCGGGGTCTCTCCCTGGGCTTCTCTCGACCCTCTGGGAATGGGCAAGAAGGCCAATCAAACTTTATCCCTCCCGTGACTTCCTGCGTGTGTGGGGAGCAGCTCCTTTGCGATGGATGCTGCATTGCTTCAGGAGGCAGTGCATTCCCTCAGGTCCTTAAAGGTCCCCGGGGGTCCTTTGGAGGGCTGCTAAGAAACTTGGTCGCGCGTGCCCGGGGAAGAGGGTGGGCAGCAGGCAGAGGGGGAGTGGATATGATAAGTTGTTCACAGAGTCAGGGATTTGGTGGTTTTCTTCGCCAGTTATTGCTGGTTTTCATTGGCTGGCAGTAATCGGGAGTTTCTGTTTGAACAACCTTGGGGTGTGTGTGTGTGTCTTTGTGATTTTTTTTTTCAGTTGCGAGACATCAACTTGCCATGGAGTTCTAGACCTAACAAGTGGGCAGGTTCTCTTCTCTTGGACTTTCTAGACCCAAGAGACCAACCGTGTTGGTCTCTGGCCAACTCGGAGATATACCGAGTGTGGGTTTTAGTTCCTGGGGCTAAGTTCTGGAGTGTGGTGATCAGAGCGCCGCTGCAGAGAGCCGGCGGGAGAAACCAGTGCCTTCAGCCCTCCAGGAATCCATCCACCTGTCTTTTTCTGATGACAGGGCTATTGAAAGGGAACTGAACTGGAGGTGTTCAGAGAGGATACCCCGAGACCAGTGATAGCATACGATTGTGTCTGAAAGGGCTTTGAAAAGAACTAACACTCTGAATGCAAGATGGTGTTGTCATTATTAGTCATAGGTATAGACCCTATTCTTATTCTTGAGACAAAATTGTACTTCTTCATATTTGGCATACTGACATACTGCTTTGCTAAAGCTTTTGGGTGAGAGCCTAGCTTCTTCACAGTTCAGTTTAGATTTGCATGTTTCATAGCCTCCAGTTATGTGTTTTTGTTCTCTTAGAAACACAAGGGCACCCAAAAGCTGGGTTGTATTTCCCTCTCCCTCAACAAGGTAAAGACTTCCCATGTTGTCCTTGTCTCAGTATTCTGATAATACGTCTTTTGACTTTGCAGTTTGTTTTTAATACTATTGGGGTGTGGTACTCATGTAGCATTTTAAAATTTTGTGCCTTGTATATTTTCCACTATGTGAATCTGTCGGGCTGTGAGTGTAATCCTTGTGTGGGTACTTCATGAAAGTGTTCTTCTGTGCTATTCTGGGTAAACGTAATGTACTGAATTTGTAACTGAAAGCACAATTAAAGTGAAGTTTTATTTCTGAAGGGTAGACATGGGAATGGTGACTTGTAAATGAACTTCGATTTTTTCAAAATCTTACAACTGATTATTTAAAATATGTAAAGAGTGTTTTCCTTTTTCTGCGATTGCTCCGAAGCCGTCATACATAGAGCTCTCCATCTGTTATTCTGTGATTCCTCACAAGACTCAATTTGAAAGGTATCTCTTAGAGATTTGTTCAGTTCTTGACATTTTATGCCTGAAATTGAGGCCCAGAATGGGAGAGACTTGGTCAGAATTACACAGCTAATATGCAACAGTTTTAGGACTCCCACCCACTCAGATATTTTGACCCCCTTATTGTGTTCTTGTTATTTTACAGTGCAATTGCTCCTTCACATGTCTCTCTTCCTCGTAAATTAACTGTTGTTTGTTAGGAAAGTATTGGTATTTCAGAACCCCGTGAATGGGAATTCTTCTTTAAGTAGATGTTGGTTTGAGGCACATGTCTTAGGCAAATATGGGAACCCAACTTGCCTTTTTGAAAGTCCCTGAGAGACACTAAGGTTGAATCTTGCATAGGAGACATCCTGTGTTTGTGCAGCAGATGGCACTCTGCGTTGAACTGGATCACAAGTCCAGCTTGTGCTGCTTTTGTTCTGCTGTCATGGTTATGGTAAACTAGAGACAGGGGACATGACAGTTCTGGTTAATTTTGCTTGAGAGGCATGTTTTTTGAAATCTCTCTGTCCCCAGTTTGGAGAATGAGTTCTAAGCAACACAGTTCAGTTAATTGGTAAATGTAGTTGCAAAATTATAAAACATAACTCCCCACCCCTCATTAAAACATTATTCAACTGAGTAAGTAGGAGTAAAAGTGCAGGGGTTTATTCAATATTTTTAGCGTCATCTAGTGATTTTTCCTCTCCTGTGTGAAGAGACTACACTTTTTTCTTTCTTGTGTGAAGCTCTCCAGCTTGCAACTGTAACTAAGACTGATGTAGAATGTTTGTTGCATGACTTTTTGTGTGGTTAGTGAAGGTGGCTGCTATTTTCAAGGATGATTCTTTAAGGGGGAACTGCATTTCATTGTGAGCTGTGTAATTCCTTTGCTAAATCAAGTTGTTTCATCTCCGATTATGACAGCCTTGCTGTTGGTATTTCCTAGTGGTCAACGGCTGTGCTGAATTACTAAATCTTAAGTCTGTCATTGTACTGTTAGAGCATGTGGCTGTCCCTTTGTACTTTAACATTGTATAGTTCTTTGGCAGAGATATCATTTCAGTTTAACCCGAAAGTTTTAACAGAGATTACATTGCTTGACACAGAGGCAAGTCCCAGTTCTTTAACTGGGCTCCTCACCGTCTGGCCTGGCCTTACTTTGCCAGATGGACCCCAGCACAAATTCTGCTCTGCACTGAAGGCATATATCCATACTAAGTGTTTATGCAGTTCTTGTAGCTGAATTTCAGTTTTAATCACTCTCTAACCTCTAAGGTCCATTTCGGGTTAGAGACAGTGAACTTTGACTCCTTTTTTAATCTCACATCCTCACTTTACACATCAGGAAACGGACCTAATGGGGACTTTGGAAAGTGACTTGTTAGGTTACATTTGTGATTAATGAGACCTGGGATTAAACTTCTTTTAAATAGAGGTGGATTCAAGGAGAAGTCCTAGTCTGAATCTTGGTTTGTGTAGTTTCTGGCTCTTAGTCCCTTATTATTGTTTTATTTTGCCCTCTGAATCACGATAGGATTTATTCTTGTCAGGACATAGATTGACACTGACTTGTTCTCTAAATGTTCATTTGTGTTACCTTATCTTACTGGGAAGATAAGCGAAGATTGTGTATCTTGTTACCTTTCTGTCTCTCATCAACTCCAAAACAGTGCTGGGTATACAGGTGACACTCAGAGAAGCATTAAGTGAATATGTATGTACCCTTTTGTCTGCCTGCCAGTGAAGAGGCACACTGCCCGCTCCACCCCTCCCCACCATTTGACTTGTTTAATGGCCTGTTGCCTAGGTAGTCATATTTGGGTAATTGCTTTAAGTTTGAGATTGCTAGAGTTGTCTTTGGTTGTATATTGCATTTCTTTGTGATAGATTGTTGGAGAGGGTAGGTACCATCGGATTAGCTCTACAGTGGTACTTACTGCCTTTCTGTCCAAAGCCAGCAAAAGTATGATAAATAGCCAGATTATTGAAACTATATGTTTGAATCAGATTCTAGATTTATTGTTGTCTAATCTAATATAATAACTTTTGAGGGTTTTAGATAAATGTTTAGAGCAGACATGTTTTTTAGGAAGCAGCCATTATTTTGTTTATCTCAATATCTTGCTTATTTTGAACCCCATGAAATATTTGAATTAGTAAATTTGGATATGTTCATCAAATTTTGATTATTTGAACTTTTCTTTCCCAAGGGACTCTAGATACTTTATGGAACTCTATTCCCAAAGGAAGCTAATCAGAAAGTGCATCATCAAAAACGGTGTATGTCAAAAGCAAAAAATTGAATGTCGAATCATTCAATCATTTTGGTTTTGGGGCTGCCTCACACGTGAAGCTGAAATCAGGGAGCAGTCATGGTCTTCTGGAATAGCACCTCATCGATGCCATTATCTGAATAACTGCTGAGTTGGTGCTTTCTTTCTTTCTACATTCTAACTTTGCAACACTGGTTTTTCTTAAAAATGACTATTTTCCTGTGATTAAGGGCAAGATTACCTTTTAAGATCTCAAGATTGCCACTCTGTATAAGGGAATCCTCAATTCTTTTACTTATTTTTTATTTATTGATTTGAGAGCGAGAAAGAGAAACATCAATTTTGTTGTTCCACTTATTTATTCATTCATTGGTTGCTTCTTGTATGTGTCCTGGCCAGCGATGGAACCCACACCTTGGCATCTTGGGATGACACCCTAACCAACTGAGCTACTGGGCCCGAGCCCCTCCATTCTCTGATTAATTGATTAATACCCTAGCATGGCTCCTGGATACATTAGAAATACTGGAATAATATATTATTAGGAAAACTAAGACGTTACAATGGAAGACATGTACTTAAAAGAGTCTTGATATTTAGAGCTTGAAAAGACTTTATATTAAGGAAACAAGAGTGCGAGAGTAGTGGGTTGGCTTTTCCCTCAGTAGTCCAGCAAGTTACTCTGGAGCTGAAAATGTTTCATGTGTCTGCTGGTCTTCCCATCAGTTCAATTACATAATTCTGTGTTACATTTTTAAAAATATTAAGCTGAAACTGGTTTTTAAAAG